TGAACATTTGGGTGGCATTATGCAAATATTTCCATATAGTGTGGTAGATATGTGGGGGCGTGTTAGAATGAGCCGTTTTAGGGGGGCGTGGCAGAGTCTTAACTTTGATAAAGAATATCTCTTTGGTTTTGAGACTTTAGTCTTTGCAACTTCAGGGATCTTATCTATGCACAATCAGCTTGTAACACTCCAAAGAGAAAGGAAAACTTGAAATCGCATCATATGACCCCTTTAAAAAAAATCACCAACTAACTTACCCCCTGTAAATGGTGAAAATCACTTACGTCCCCCTGAGAAACAATTACCGTCCGAATAGGGCTTTAGGCTGTAAAAAAAAAAAACACCATCTTCTACATGAGCCGTTAGAACTTGGACACCGATAATCACCGCTTGCGACTATATTCTCATCATTCTATTCAAATTAGAACTTTTCAACAGACAGTTAATTGTCCGTGTTTACTAGGAATCACTACAGAACTTCATACTATATTTCATATTAACGTTATTTATTAACAAATTATTATATTTGAAAAGTGTTGTTATTGCTTAAGCATGTTACTTAACATTGCTGAAACAGCAGTTTTGCGTATTTATTTATAGATTAATATATTTTTAGGATAAACATTTCAGCTAGCTTCAGTTCCGTTTACTCTTAAATATATACTACAATCATGAAAATAACTCTTTCTAACTGAACCATGTCCATTATGAAGCTCTGGAGCCCATTACAGTCCATTAATGTCACAAAACCCAACAAACATGAGACGTCGGCCCGACGTGCAGATCATGTCTATATTGCGTCGGTCGGTCCAGGACCGTATCTGTACGTCTAATCGACGTGCAAATCCGGTACGGTATCTGGACGTCTGACTACGACGGCCCTTGGACGTAGAAATGCAGTTCAAAATTTGAACGTCTGACTAGGAGTTTTTTTGGACGTCTGTACAACGTGCAGAACAGGTTCAGGAAATCGACGTAAGAACTTTTTATACAGACGTTGAAATGACGTCGTTTGGACGTACCTTTGCTCAGTGGGAACATTAGCCCGTAATATTTCACACTTGATTAACGTTAGCTCAGTGGCTAAGGTTTGATTTCGGCTCACTAGTTAAACACAGTTTGTATACGTTTAGATTGATTTTAGGGCGGTCCAGACAACAATAAACGCGAATGATGAGGATAGATTTTATTCATAATTAAGGGTCTGACATGTACAGTTCAATATACGTCTAAAAATTGCGATATTATGATATTTTGCTCGTTTCTTTCTCCGGTTCTCTTACCCCATGTTTCGCCTGCAGTTCTGCCATACGTTGCCGCCTAATGGCTTCCAATTCTTCATCAGCCATGATTTTTAAATACACAGCAAGCTTCCGGAGAAAAATACGACACGATTCTCGTGTGTGTTCTGCTTCAGCATGAAGAGATACAGCGAGTGAAGCTACTACTTCTTCTTCTTCCGTTTTTTGGCGTGTTACATCCTGTGTGCATATCGCCGCCTACTTTTGCTGTTATGCAGTCATGGTTTATTTATAATCAATTTCTTCCTTGTCTTTGCTTTTCCTGTTCTTACACACGTATATACACAAATATTACTACTTAAATAATTATTCGATGCTCCATCCCATTCCTTCTCCCCAGGCTCCACCTGGCGCTGCGTGTTCAGCTCCTCCAGACTAAATCCGTGGTCTCCTAAAGATCCAGAATAGAATAGAGCATCCGTATTCTATATTTAAATCCTTTCACTTAACCCAGTAGTATATATGTATTTTATTAATATCCTGTATCACTTAACCCAGTAGTATATATGCATTTTATTAATATCCTGCATCCTTCTCTATCTCTGTTAAACTCATATCCTAATAAGTATTCCAAAACTTTTTGTTTAAATATGATATTAATTCCCTTCTTTCTTCATCATATCTTGTACAATTATATATTACATGCTCCACTTCTTTCTCCCCACAATTCCCACATAGACCAGTCTCATGTATTCCGGTTGAACAGTGAAGCGTTCAATCCGAGTGTAAAAGTCTCATCCTAATAGAATTAGTTATTATAACCTCTTCTTTTCTATTTCTATCACTTACACTTCTTTTAGTATTAATCTTTTTTTTAATATTATATTATATAAATGCCTTCCCTTATTATCTGTATTCCATATGTCCTGCCATTCTTTAATAATATTTTCCTTAATGATAGTTTTAATTTCACCTTTACTTAAAGGAACATTAAAATCTATTACTTCTCTTTTTAAAGCATTTTTTGCTAATTCATCAGCAGATTCATTACCAGCTATTCCCACATGTGCTGGCACCCAGCAGAATCCAACTACCACTCCTTTTCTTTGTATACGCCATAATAATGTAAATATTTCACACCCAGCAGAATCCAACTACCACTGCTTTTCTTTGTATACGCCATAATAATGTAAATATTTCACACATCAAATCTTCTCTAGAAGATTGCAGAGTAATCAATGATGTTAAAACAGAAGCAGAGTCAGAGCATACCACTACTCTGGTCTTACTTCCTCTACCCATGTTAGTCCTATTATGATAGCAACAATTTCAACAGTATATATTGACAATTTAGATTGAAAATCTGGAATATATATTGCTACTCCTGTAAGCCCTGTTTTGGGGTCTTTAGATCCATCAGTATAAATGTGCATACTTGCATAACATCTTTCCTGTATATACTTATTTACATTATATTTAATACTACCCATTTCCTCCCATTCTCTTTTCTTATCCAATATCTCTAAATCAATTTTAACATCAGGGATTATCCATGTTGGCACCTCTCCCCATACAGGTGACACACTACATTCTATATTTGTTATCTGATATTTCTCTGCTAACTGATTTATATTCCATCCATATCCTCTCCCTTTGTTATTTGAGTATTCCCAGCAATTATTTAAAATATCTTTAGCTATATGTTTTCCAGAATAACTCTTTAAAGACAACCAATATACCAAAGACAATT